CATTGAACAGTATCGATCAGAACTGATCAGTAATTAAGGGCTGGGCTTAGGCCTGGACACTGAGGAGAAAAAACTGCTGATATCTGCTCACTGAGTAAATAGATGCATCCAGGACACTGATGAAGCTAGAGAAACATAAGGAAAAAAATGTACAGTGAGGCAAATTAGGTCTGTAGGGCTAACCTCCAAGCTGGTCCTCTTTAGAGTGCTTTGATTTGGATGCTTAGTGCAGGTTCCTGTTTGTCAAAGTATCATGCGCTAAGGACAGGTTTGAGGGGTCCAGTCCTGTGACTCCAATAGATCCTTTGGTTATTAGGGATACACAGTTTTGTGCAAAGATAGATTATTGGTGACGATGAAGCATGTAGCCCAGTTAACCATTGCTCTTGCTTATCGATGGAGCTCAGTTTCTCCATCCTTTCACTGGCAGATTGCAGTGACCTGCAAAACATCTCTGCACTCTACAAGCCAGAACCTGCTTCACCATATTATGGTGTCTGCATCAACAGCCTTAGAAGAAAAATCTCAGTTGGATCCCCTTCTGCTGAAAATACTGCAGGATTCAACTTCTGAGATGGCTAATTCTAGTCTCTCAGTCCTAAGGCAGGTATCCCTAGTCAGAGAAGCGCTTAACCATGTGCATACACGTCACTGTTCAGTCAGAACTTACTCCTGGGGTCATTTGTCTAGTATCACTTTCCAGGAAAGAAAAAAACCCTTTCTTCACTTTCCCTTTTGGCAAAGAAGATATACATGTGCAGCAAAATTGAAGTCAATGGGCGTTAAGCCCATGCTTGAATGCTTCCTTGAATTGGGAGCTCAATTTCTGACATGGCAGTGATTTGTAGAAAGGATAAATGGAAACAGAGAAGGGTCTATTTTAAAGGTCAAACTCACTGCTCCCATCTCATTCCGTAGCACTGTTGTGGTAACAAGTTGCTTGAAGGCGCCACGAAAACCACAGAAACATGACGTGGAAACACCAGTCATGACAATAAGCCTGGACACGACTGCTTTATCAGAATATAACATGGCAGAATTAGTGCCAGTTACTATAAAAGAGTCAACAATGCGTGACATGTTTTACTCAGGTTCGTATCTGGGAACAGTGCCAGGCAGCGCGGGGAACATGACTCACACACACACACACGCACATGCACATGCACACTCAGCTCTCAGTCATATAGTCTTGAAGGGGGTGGCAAGTAAAGTGTTTTGCTTCAGTGCTGCTACGCAGACAGCACATCCCACTCTCACATGAGCCCACAGCGCCAGTTGGATGCGGGCAAGCCACCGGTCCAGGCCCTGCCTCTCCACAGCACATCGCTGTGCTGGTCCCGTTTCTTGCGCCAGCAAAAGTTGGATTCATCACTAGTAGGTGGAAAAGAGCGTATGGGGGGGACACACGTGGCCTGATGGGCTAATTCACTTGATAATCACTGCAACACAAAGTGACAAGGGCACCACATGGGAAATTTCTCCGCTCCACTGCTTGGACTGCTGGATGCTTTATGGCAGAAAGTAGCTGAAGGGAAGTGGTTTTATAAACCCATAGTGGGGAACTGCACCCAGAAGGCAGAGATGGGCACTAACTGTCCCAGCAAAGCAGTTAAATATCATGGAGAAATTATGTGAGAGCTACGAGCAATTTCCTTTCCAATCCAGCCACCCACAACCAGGTTTTGGAACACCAAATAAGATAAAATAATCGTTTTCCTCACTCTCCCCCTGCACAAAACATAAATGAGAGTATAAACACTAGCAGCATCTCCGAGAGGGCAAAGCTCACTTCACCTTCCTGCCTGCCCGGCTGCAGCTCCCAGGAAGGGCTGTGCCATCAGGCAGTGGAATAAGCAATTCTTTCCTTAGATCACGAGCGTTGAGCTGTGAGCAATCAGAGCCTTTTAATGCACCTCCAGCACAGCTAGCGGCGCGACCGCTGAGGTTTGATCAGTAGCTGGGATGTGGCAAGGGCTGGAGCTGCAAGCCAACCTCTCTGGGAGAAGTAGCGCTGCTCCGCTGCCTGCATGAGCCTCATTTCAAATGCTGTAAATATTAAGGAATGTGCTACTTCTTCCAACCTTCCAGTGCTCTGCCTCTGTGCGCGCAGATGGGCGTTGGGAGACAGAAAGCCAAGTACAGCTAAGTGCACTGAAATGCTTTGCAGCTTTTAAAAATTTCATCCAGCATCTGAATTTGTTTATCTAACCTTTATTTTTCCCCCCTCTCCTCCCTTTTCTCTCTCAGAGAATTGCTCCTACTGTGCAGATGAAATGCACCAAAACGCAAACAAGCAAAATACGAAGCTGAGTGACGTTGAAGGCGAGTTCCTCCATTGCCAGATGTGAAAAGAACAAGTGGTTTGAAAACCGTAATTTGTTTTAAAAATAATATAATTTGGTACTTCTGAGCAATTTGATGATTTAATGAGCACAGATGGATGTGGGATGAATTTCTAGGAGACAAGTGTTTAATGTATCTGCTCAGATTATTCCAAGACTAAGTATTATCCTTCCTAGTGCATGAAGGTAATTAATATTTCCCATTATGGGCATGAAAAAACCCATATGACCAGTTAAGGAATGCAGATATACCAATGATATGGAAGTTAATTCATAAATCAATTAGAAAATCTTGCCTGCTGTGTATAATTAGGGTTACTTCAATTATAGCTTATTTTCAGATTTAAGACTCAGGAATTAAAATGCTTAAAATCAGAGTAAGTTCCTTACCACCATACACCGCATTTGAAAGTATTTACTTGAGTTTAGCAATCTAAATCTATATACTTCTGAATCCAGTACAGCTGAGCAGATGCAGCTAACCTATGTCCCTCTGGTTCGATTCTGCCACTTAAAATTGTAATCACTTCAATGTTTCGCTATCCAGACCATCCCGAGGTGAACTTAGAAATTTGTAGGATATGGGACTAGCCCTGGCATATTAAATAATGTGCCTGGACTTCTCTACAGTAAAGGTGTGGGAGCAGCACCTCCACAGCCAAGTCTGGAGACATCAGGGAATGTTCTTCCTGGCTTCTTTTCATGGCCACGTTTAACTAAAGGTGCAGCATTCCACTGATCTAGTTACACTGGTGCTAAATCTGGTTTATATTGATTTAGCTTTTCTTACAGCATTAATTTAAACTGATGCAGACCAAATTAAGTGCACCTAAATAGGGATTGGTTTTTCACTCCTTTTACTAAATTGCTTTTTCATGGATTTTAGGGACAAGAGATTACCATGATAGTCTCCTCTCACTGCCTTCATTACAATGCTGAAGGGCTTGCCTGTATTTATTTCTGCTTCAAGTCTAACAGCTGAGCTTGAACAATAGCATCTCCTTTCGACAAAATGCCCAACCTAGAGTAAAAACATTTGCATGTCTGTCCTATCTGCAGTCTCTCACACTCCTAAGCCTGCTCTTTACCAGGTGTACCAGAGCTTCCTGTATCACTCAGTGGAAGTATATTGTTTTAAATCTTCTGTTTTTCTTCTGATGTCTTTCTGAAGCCGCTCCATTTTGCCTCAGATTTGGCTCTTCTGAAATATAATGCTACTCTGTGTTCTCCTTACCAAGGCATTGAATTAGCTCTGTGTCAATGGGTCTGCCCTCTTTATCACCTATCTCCCACTTCCATTCCGCAACAGCATAGACTTGGTGTTGGACATTGCAGGTCCAAGCCTCAACTCTTGCTGAGCTGCACTACATACACACACAATAATTTTCTAGTGATTTCTGATCTAGAGTTAGATTTGATGGCAATGAATCAGTTTTCAATTCACTTAGTACCTGCTGTGCCAGTTACGTACAGCTTACTCAGTAAAAGTTTTATGGTTACAAACCAGATGCTTTAGAAAAGTTTAAATATGTTACAGTGTTATTGTTACCTTCCCAACCAAATTTTAACCTACATTCAGTAAAACACCATGTAAGGTACGAATTGTTCTGTATCCCTTATCATGCCCTGCATCATCTGCTCCATGACCCCAGCTGGATTCAGGGTCAAGTGGTTTGCCCAGTCCATTCCCTTCAGCCTCCTTCGTACACTCAGACAAAAAGAGTTTCTTTCAAACTGCTGCAACTTTACTATTGTTCCAAGATTGTTTTAAATATCAACTCCCTAGACTGCTTTTTGAAAACTCATTGATGCTTTTGTAAGAAACATGTTCTCCTCAATCACTTTTTGAGTGGAAAGCATTTCAATAGCACCATATCAGTGCACTATCTGTTCCCTTCTCAGTCCTCAAATTGCAGTCTGGTAGAAAATATTTACCTGAAGCCAATATGACTCTGCATATGGAGTCCTAGCTCTTTTCAGTACCCCTGTTTCTAGTAAGTTAACTCTCTCTCCATTTGCCTTTGCATTGTGGTTTTTGCTCTTTTTAAGTTTGGAAGGTCAGTTACTCTAAGGTTCAGAGCAGGCTGCTGATATGAACTCCAGGATCACTGGTACATTCCTCTCTTGAAATAAGGCACACTTTTTGGTAACAGGTCACTGAAGATGGCACTACCTATAAGTATCCTAAACAAGGAGAATTTGAAACAGTCTTTGACATTGCAGAAAAGGCCAGAAAGGGCCTTAATGCACAAACACTTCACCCTTCTTACCTCCAGTTAGGAAACGTCATGTGCCATCTCTTTAAGTTTGTTAAAACATAGGGATCCCACTTAAAAAGGGGCCTCGGTGAACAGCATTTAAACCATTTGGGCTGAGAAAGCATTGCTGTCCTCCATATCTAGATGCAGGCTGTACGATGTCCTTGACAGGTGGTGCTCACCAATTTTTTAATCAATGAATATTAAACCTGCATTGTGTGTCCCGTGACTTTCAGTGAGCAGATGCATGTAAGTCCTGTCTCCCTGAAAGACAACTAAGCCACCTGCAGTCAGTCCACAGAGCAGCAAAACTGCGACAATCCTTGAGCAAGCTGAACTTGCAGCCATCCTCCAAATGTTCTTTGATGATGCCAGCAACCTCAGGAGATACACAGCTTACCTTTCCCGGGGCAAAGGCTTGGGCTCTGGCCGAATAGCTGCCATGGAAGAGAGGGGCTGCCTGGCAGGAGAAGGGATGGAAAAATTCAAATCCAAGGAGCCTGTTTTCCTGTGCAGAGGTTCCAGCCCCATGGCTCCCTGCATTTCACTCTCAATAGGGCATGAGCCAGCCCTGCCATGGCTGGAGAGGGAGGAGAGCTCTGGTCCCACTGCCCCTTGCAGGACTCCTTCGATGGCCACCTGGGGATCATGCGTGGGGGACACGGACGGCGGGGAGCGCGACTTCTTTTTTGTTGATGCTCCTGCTAGAAGTTTCAGCAGTCCACTCTTCTTCTCCTTCTGCAAAGGAACCAAACGAAATACGGGCAATGAGCAGACATATCAACTCTCTTCATCTTTCTTTTGGGAAATCTCAAGGTGTGTGGCAGAAAACCTCCCAGAACTGTCATGACTAGAAGTGGATCCAGGTAGAACTTGAGCTTTCAGTAACAAAGATCCTATGAAAACCCATCCCCATCCAACAGGGCTTCAACTCATTCATCAGAGTAAGGACCTTAAATACTGCAAAGATTATTTCAATTTCCAAATTCACCCAGGCAGTGATCATGTGTCTTTTGAAAGAAATAGTGCAGTTACGCCAAGACAGCAAAGGTACAAATTTCCTGTTCAGAGAAGGTGGCAACTGAAGTGCTGTCCTCTCCCTTCTAGGAGAATTCTGTCCCTCCACAGAGAAACTTCCTAGAAGTAATAAATCAGGCCTATGACTGAAAATCTCTTCTGGAAAGCACAAGGGTCTGAGGAGAGATTTCAGATCCCAGCCCACTGCAAGAGAAGTCATCATTGCTGCCTTGTTTACTACCTGATGTAGATTTACTGTAGGGAGAATGGAGGCACATGACTCAATGAATAGCTCTTTCCAGTATGTGCCCCTTTTTGCATCCTGCATCATGCAGCTGTACCTATTTGCATCTCCCTTGCAGAAGTGGGTCACTTCTCTCATGTGTTAAGGTAAAGGTATCACCCTGGTGTTTGAAGATAGAGCACAAAATTCACAATTAGCAATTGCAGTGGCAGGACACGGGAGGGTTCAAAGCTCTGCAAGGGTTTCTGATACAGAGCAATGAAAACAAGACAACAGCACCCTTTCAATTAACGTAGGAAAGAAAAATAAAAAAGTTCAGCCTCGTTATTGAAGAAACACATCTGACTTCGTGGGGTTTATGGCAGTATGAGAAATCCTGCTGCACATTTACCTCAAGCACACACAAATACCGAATATTATGTCCTTCAGCTAGAAAGTTCTTTTGGGTAGACAGATTGTGTGAAGAAACTGGCCATCCTCCAGGGCAAGATGCACAGCACTAGGCTAGAACTGCAACCAGCAATGCCATGCAGTAACTTTTCCATTTTTTACTAATGATATCAGAAGTTTTGCAAAAGGCTGTTGGATTTCTTCCTCTTCTGTCAGAAGTGCAAACCATTGCCCAAGAATATCTTCAGACACTCAGGGCTGTGAAGTTTAGCTATATCTGATAATTTGTTCTATAATAGGATCCCAGGGGATAAAGACGAACCCAGCAACTGCAGTGCTTATGGAACAGGAACTGTGTCTCTATCTTCAAGCAGGAACACTCTTTGGAAATACAAGCCAGTTAATTTATTTATTCTCTGTAGACAAAATGTCCCATGCAAGGTTTAAAATGATGCTCTTTTATGTGCTGACTGCTGAAGAAATTTCTCAAAGCAGCTTTAAAGAACAAGAGAGCTGCAAGAAAATAAACATAAGCTTTTAGAAGGTGCTTGGATTTACTACAGTAAATATACTTGGAGTATCTGATAGCTTCTGCTCCCAAAGTTCTTGTTTGCAGTCTTTATCTGTCACAGACTGGTAAGAAAACAGAAATACCTTAGATGTTAATATGCAGAAGACCTGAAATGAAGCACAGTTGTTATCACAGAGACAACACCTATGGATTTTTGAAGAGTAGAGTCTGAACTATGCTTCCAGATCCCAGCCTCCTGCATACCACTGGGTCCTACTACAAGCTTTGTTTAAAAGGCCTTTTGACACTTACAGGATGAAAGGATCCATCCTGCCAAGATGTTCATCCAGGCAGAATGCTAAGGGAGGCTGACCATATGGCACCATCAGGTCAAAAATACTAAATAAATTCCCTTGGAAACAATAGAAAAGCAGACCCAATGCCCTTGGCGAACATTATTCCCCATAATAATGGGGAAGGGAAGGGACTGCTGTAAGAATTGAGGTAGGTGTGCACGCTGGCATTCACCTGAAGCACCAGAAAATACACTTCCATTTTTCTCTTGCTCTCTAATTAAGAAATATCACTGCTGTCATCATTATATCAAATTTTAAAGCTCTTCACGAAATTGCAAAATTCTCCTTTCCATGTAGCTCACTGAAACAATAGCTCTAATGATCCCAGCACACTGTGTCAATACGCATTTGAAGGTGTGCAAAGGTCAGTGACAGAACACAATAGCCATTGTGGGGCTCTGGAGGAGCGGCTATTGTGCAGCAGCAGCACTCGGAGCCTCTTTAATTGGCAGCTTTGCACATGCAAAGCAACCATGTGAACCAAAGCCCCGTATAATGAACAATTAATATTCCTGTGTGGTAGCAGCTTTTCTAATTTTTGCTTCTAATTTAAATACCTTGGCAAATTTTCATTAGAAAAACCTTGTGCGACTTGGACCATTTAAGGCAGCAAAGCTTTTGGAAAGAAGGAGATGCATACATTCACACCCATCTGCACATTAAAAAGCAGACGAGACTGACAGTCATTCAATTTTGTTTACAAGAACGGGCTTCCACTCGACAGGGTTAGCCTTGGCATAAATTTCTACACTCAAGCAACTATCCCTCAGACAACAGAGAGCTATAATGAACTTGCTGATGTAACCTTTGTTCTCCTTTAACAAAAGGAAGAAATAAAGAATTGGTTTTTAGCTCTCTGTAGTCCGCTGAGCGTTTTACTAAACTTTTGAGACTAAGAGCTCTGTTCTCCAAAAAGCGAAGATTACTCACTTCAGTTGCTAAGCCTGGCCCTGCTAGTCAAAACCTGTGGAGCCCCATCTTCGCCATCCTGGCCTTGGGCAAGATATTTAGAGGTGAACCGATAGGAACCACTTTGGGTGCCTGGAGATCAGCCATTACATCCAGCGCCTTCTCCCTTTGAGTCTGGCAAATGCTCTCGGCCTTCTGGTATCACATCGCCAGATCCTCTGCCGATGCTGCTCAGAGCACTTCAAGCAAAAACAAGGACTGTCAGGAGCTGATAATTTACTGTGATGTCTCTCATGAGAAACAGATTGGGTTCGAACCTCCTATGATCAGCAGTTCAACCTGAAACCCTTCATGCCTCCTCTGCCATCTGTAAAATGGGACTAAGTTAAAACTCCTCTTCTTAATGACTTCAGTGTTACAAAGCTGTCCATTTCTTTGAGAGCAAACAGTCCTTTCACATGGCTTTAATAGCAAAAAATAAAAAAAGGAAAAGATTTGGAATGGGATGTTAGTATGCAGTCCCAGTAGTGATTTATTGCAAATGTCCAAGTATTATTAATTCATTTAATACTCAGTGTAATAGCAGCCATTCTTCACAATAAATTAACTTAATATTTATATGGCTGTCCAAGACAGTCCTTTCTTCAGTAGTTTTGCTGTAAATCAACGAGTCATTAATGGGCATAAATGTTGTAGAGAAATCTACACCGATTGGTTACAGATTCTGTGGGTTTTGAAAAGAGATAAGAAGTTTATGGAGGATATACCTGAGGACTTTCAGGAATTAAGTTTCTGAATGAAAAAAAAAAGATGGTTTACTCTTTCCATTCACAGATGGCTGTTTCATTGTTTTCTAGGAAACCTGTAATCTACTGAAACAGCTGTGTAATTATTGAGTTTGCTTTGTCTGGTAGCTACACTTCCAACTGACTGCAAATTGTGTTTGACATTCCTGCCTCCTGAACCTGCCAAGGTCAGACCTTCACATCTGTGTTGATGGATGGTTTCACAGCGCGGACAGCACTTCTCACATCTCCTGGTTACTGCCCACATGTTTAACTGATTTTAAATCATCACCTTTGGATTGCTCAGGTTTTATTCTAGAAGGTTCAAAGTCAAAACTTCCAAACCATTAATTTCGTAACGATCAATACCTTTTTCAAAAAAAAAAAAAAGAAGCAAAAGAGTAAAGTTAGCTCTTTCAAATAAATTCCAGGCTGTTTCTGGTTAAGAAAAAAAAAGGACCATAAACACAGACAGTATAGACAGGTCAGAATTTCTTTACTTCTCTAGCTAAGCCTAAGCTTGAGATTCCGTTCCTGTAGTGTAGCACGAGGGAATCTCAGTGGAAATCAGTTTCTGGCAGCACAAGGATGGGATAGGCAGCATTTCTGTGACTCTGAAGCACACACCTGGGGAAGCCAGCACTCAGACAGGTGCAAGTTCCCCTCGATATGTCGCTGTGGGAACATTTGGAAAAGTGAATTCAGTCTGAGCTTAGGAACTGATGAAGGACTAGATCAAAATTAAAGTCTCAGATATGTAAATGTTGAAATATTTTGCTTCACAGTAATTGGGGATGATTTTTCCCTTCATTAATAACCTCACTTGAAGATAATAACTAGCTCTTCTTTCAGCTCCAGAGATGAGCACAGAATGCAGCTACTTTGTTGATGACTGAGTGATAACGGAGTCTCCTGTCTGGAGAGTAATAATCATGCCATAATCCAAATAGCAATTATATGTACTGGCTATATTAATACAGATTTTTTTTAAGCCACCCTAATAAAAAGAAAATTCTGGTTTAGTTTTCTTCCTCTGTAACTCCTATTCTTCCTCTGCAACTCCTAATACTTAATTTCCTACCTATCCAGGCCCGTTAAATAAATGAGGAAACCTTACTGCAGCTGATAGAAAAACTGGCTCCAGCCACTGAAATGAGGTAATTTCTCACACGACACCAGTTATATCAATAGATAAGGGAGCCAGAAGGAGAAAAAAGGCTTCATTTAAAAATGAAGAGAAACAAAACTGTTTAAAAGCTGCCCTGAGCCTTAAAGAACAAATGAGGAACCCATCTATCAGTCAGTATCCCCAAATCACCACTTTTATTGTTTGTTTAACTTGGCCAGCACTTGTTTCAGTAAATTTAAGTTAGTATCTGGAGAACAATGCATTTTTATTCTGATTCCAGCTTGGCTACTGGTTATTGATGCTTCAATTGAAAGAGTAGGTGGTATTTTGGATTACATCTTTTAGGAAAAAAGCTACTTGGGTTTTAAAAATCTGTAAAATTATTTGAATTGGTATT